CTTTTTTTTAATTCCAACCACCCTGAATAATTTAGCACCCCCAACTTGGTCATCTCAGTGCTCACTTCTGACTCCAGATCATGTATGAAAAACACCAACCGCACTAATCCCAATATTGATCTTTGCATCTCAGATGGAGAGAAACATCCATTTATTCCTACTCTCTGCTTTTTGTTCTTTAACCAGTTACCGATCCATAAGAGAGCTTCTTCTTATCACATGACTGCTAACTTTGCTCAGGAATCTTTGGTGAGGGGTTTTGTCAAAGCCTATTGAAAGTTCAAGTAAGCTATATCTTCTGGATCATCCCTATCTACATGCTTGTTGACACTGGCAAAGAACTCTTCAAGGTTAGTGAGAATAGGATTTATCTTTGCAAAAGCTCTTCTTTAGCAAGACTTGTTCTAAATGCTTATATTTCTTTTGTGGAGGAGGTGGGCTTCCTTTTCATTGTCATCCTTTGCTGAGAAAACTTTCTTTTCAGTTATAACTTCCATGATGAGGCTCGTTAACTGTGCTGGTAGCCACTTAGATCGGGTAGTATCTTTCCAAACTGCAGCTCATATTCCAACAGAGCGCTTATTATTGTATATTTGACAAAACTCAAAGATTATAGAAAGCACTTCTAAACTAAACTCAAATTTTATGTAACTTTTAATTTCTTTTTAAAATTTATCTCATTTACTCTCTGAAATTTACCTCTCTGAAAACAAATGTCAGTAATTTTCTACTTCACAATGTTCTATTTATATGTAAGTGGCTTCTTTAAAGTGTTGTCAATAAATGCAACATACATGCCAGAACCCCTGGAAGCACATTTCTGGCATTTCATCTAAAGTGCTGCACATCCCTAATTTTCACCTTTATCTTTTTGGTATGTTTTTTTCTGAAAGATGCTCCTTGGTATTCCCCAGAATTCAGTTTAGCAGTGGCACATGTATGTGTTTGAATACTAATATTCTGGGATCTTTAGGTTAAAACAGAGCTTATTCTACATACATACATACATACATACATACATACATACATACATACATTCATTCATTCATTCATTCATTCATTCATTCGATTTCAAGGCTATCCAACTCCAAAACATTCTGAGCAGCTTATAATTTTAAAAGAATATTGTACATAATATAAAAACATCATCACCCAAACTAGCCATACAAATAACTAAAAATCACCAGTGTCTTCACAAGTACTGTAACCCCAGGCCTGGCAACAGAGTCAAATCTTCGCAGACATAAAAAACATTTAAAGGATGAGAACCATATGTATCTCTAAGAGGGTTGCTATTCCAGAGGGTGTGTGTATGTGTACTTACTCAGACTCCAAGATCATTTTTTGTCAGAAAGCATGATTATTCCACACCACTGCTCTTCAGATGCTCCTCCTATCTATCTCTCTCTACTATATACAAATGCAATAAAGGCTGAAAAATAATGTTTGCTAAGCCTTGCTTGTCCCAAAATGTCTCCCAGGGATTAATAGATATAAATCCCTTCTTCTCATACTACCATTTGCTTCAGTATCTTGAGATGCCTCATTTCTTCTTTCTAGTGTGCAGAACAATTAGCATTTCAAAGAAAGCATTTAAACGTTTATGAAAGCTTAATTTGGTTCCCAGGCGTTAATGGCAACATGCTTAAATCATTGTTGGGATGTGCGTAATCATATGTTCCAATTTAGCATCATTGCATTTTGATGACTAAGAAATGGCTAAATAAATGACCAAATAAATGAATAAATGACTAAGATTTTGATGATCCTTATACTCCTGGAGCCACGTTGATTCACCTCTTATGAAAATGAGCCCTTTGCTCCAAATATTATTACAACCCACGTAATAAAAGAGACGGAAGGGAAATTGGAGGCCTTCTAGTCCAAGTCCCTACTCAAGCAGGAGATCCTATGCCATTTTAGACAAATGGTTGTCCAGTCACTTCTTAAAAGCCTCCAGTATTTGAAGCACCCACAACTTCTGACGGCAAGCCCTTCCACTGATTCATTTTTCTTACTGTCAGAAAATTTCTCCTTAGTTCTAGGTTGCTCCTCTCTTTATTCAGTTTCCATCCATTGCTTCTTGTCCTGCCTTCTATTGCTCTGGAGAATAGCAATAGCAATAGCAATAGCAGTTAGACTTATATACCGCTTCATAGGGCTTTCAGCCCTCTCTAAGCGGTTTACAGAGTCAGCATATCACCCCCACAGTCTGGGTCCTCATTTCACCCACCTCGGAAGGATGGAAGGCTGAGTCAACCTTGAGCCGGTGAGATTTGAACAGCCGAACTGCAGTTAGCAGTCAGCTGAAGTGGCCTGCAGTACTGCACTCTACCCACTGCACCACCTCAGCTCCATCAAGGTTGAGCCCCCTTTCCAGTATTGGAACACTGCTATCATGTCACACTCTTTTAGGCTCAAAGAGGGGACAGTTTATCCCTTTGCAACAGATGACTTCTAAGCAAATTTCTCTGTTCTTTGCTGATTGTCCTCTTTGCAGTCTATCATCCTTCTGGAAACATGACATTATTTACCAAATCCTTGAAGTTTCTTTAGGTAAGAGTCATTTAAGAATCTGGCAAGAGTTTTTCTTATAAAACCCAATCTCTTTGTTTATTGTTTTTACCACTTCACTATATACTATGCTAAGTGACTCCCTGGTAGCTTCCTTTCCCAGTAAAGCATCTTTCCTATTTACTTTTTCATATAGTTCTGTGCATATTGCAACAGTCCACTAACTCCTGTATCTTATCTTGAGTAGATCAGATTGCACTTTATTTATGTTGTGCATTTAAGCCCAAAGAAGACTTATTTACTATTCAAGATTTTGCAAACCTACCAAATAAATGGATATAATGAGAGTATAATCCAAGCTAACATTAATAATGTTAAGCAATGCCTGAGGATAAACTGAGACAATTTAATTTTATTTGAATAATTCACACTAATGTTTAACTCAGCATGTATTAGCGGTAGCACTACGATAGGTCTTAAGTGTACATTATAAAAATAAATAATTTTATCAAGACATTTTGCCTTGGTAAACGTATTGCAGCTCTCAGTTTACATGACTAGCATGTGGTATGTTTCAATGCCAGATTTGGTAATTTGTTTCTCTGACATATTTAACGGAAGAGTGCTAATTTTTTCTACCAAATTCCATTCACTATAGAATTCAGCGATGTGCCATTAGTTTCTCTTTCATTCTTATTCCTATTATATGCCGAAGAGAATGTATGGTTTTAATGGGGTTCAACTCTTCATTAGATCCAGGCAAATTTATTTCAGTCCTGAAAGTTGTTTTTAAGTATAATATATTGAATTTCAGAGACGTTTTCCATAAATATTTGCAGCACACCTCATATGCTTTAGTAATGAATTGAACATGGAAATGCTAGGATTAAATAAAAGGGTAGAAAGTTATAAAACCATTTGTTGTAGTCATTCGGTTGTATGTGTTACTTAAGTATTTTTCTTTTTCCCAATGTTCTTTAAAATTTTCTAGGTGTCTAAAGGCATTTTTAACTGAACATGTTAGTATGTTCCATTCAGAGGAAAAGGTCTTTTATACCGACTGCTGACATTCAAAAAATACAATAAGAAGTTCTGCCAAGGTTTAACAGTTTTAGGTCAGATGGATGTCAGCAGGAGAGCCAGAAGCATTTTGACACTTAATTCTTCCATTGACAAGAACGCCCTCTAAAAGATTATTAGACCTCGGGGGGGGGGGGGGCTTTTACTCTTTTGTTCTCCAATTAGCTTTTGCTAAGTTTGCTATTTTTACTGGTAAGTTTCTGTGTGAACTGGACCCTCTACATTTTTTATGAAATTAAGAATAATAATTACCAGACAATTTCCTAATAAATACCGGTACTTTTAGGTAATTATTTCCTAGAATTATTTAGTATCGAGGTAATATTTAGTAGGGAATATATTTACTTATTGCCTTATTCCCTTACATGCTGCTTCAGATGCAAATGTTCTCAATGTATTGTTTTTTTCTATTACGCCAGAGTTGTGTTAATTAAGCCCACAGTTACATGCTAGCTGTTTAAGGGTGGCAAAAGTTAAAACTTAACTTTTCAAGCACAGCAAATCTATATTGGATTTAAAGTATGTGCTGCTTAAATTAGTTTACAGGAAGCCATCCTCTGGGATTGCTGTAAGCATCAGCCCTGGGCCTGAGACATCTTTCTTAATGAAATAGGCAGCACAGCCGTCCCAGGGGGCCCCACTGCAAATGAATGAGAGGACCGAGCACAAATTAAACAGTGTTTTCAGTGTAGCAGAGGCTCTTCTGCACACAAAATGATCAACGCTTTTTGAAATGGAATATAATAACGAAGCCGAGAGAAAACAAAGATCTCAAGTGCTAAGCATAAAGAAAGAAAGACCTAACTGGCGGGTCATATTTTGGAGGGAGCCGTTCGTGTTATCTGGCTTGCAGAATAAATTCGAATTACCAGCAAGGGGCCATATATGCCATCATCAGTTATTGCTGTTATAGGTTATTATTGCAGAATTGTTAAATCGTTTAACATAAACTGAATGTTATGTACTTCAGAAACACATAAGGGGAAGTGACCTTTGGGGCTGTTAAGCTTTGGGGAAGATTTGTTCTAAGCCTAAATTCTGAGTATTCCCTGAAATAGAGGTCAGCAGGTTTCCAAAGAGCTTCACTGATCTGGCTGTTTCAGAATTCTTAAGTCCTTGTTATGCTATTAGAGTTTATAGTAGAATTTAGGTAGGGCTGATCCAATACGTGTCCTATTTTGACCAGATGGTTAGTACTGACAGGGCCAAAACTTTACCTAGCAACAGAAGAGGCCAAATCCGTCTAATGTTCTTTTTCCATTGGGACAATTGTCAGTGCCGTGTCTGCAAATGCCCACTTTATTTTCTTGATGAAGATGCGTTATATAGAACACTTTTCAGCTCTTTCTTTCAGGAATGTTTCTGTCATAGTTTTTTCCAACTTTGTTTCTATCTTTCTTTAATAGTCAGAGCTATCTGCAAGCTACAAGTGAAGTGCCTGGTGGCCAAAGCCTGGATCCTTCGGCAAACTACAATTCCCCCAAGTTTCGATCAAGGAATCAGAGCTATATGAGAGCAGTCAGCACACTCAGTCAGGCCAGCTGCGTTAGCCAGGTTGGATTATTTTTCCTCTTATGCGTTTTACAATAATAATATTAATAATTATAGGGTTTCTAAAGAACAAATTCAGGAGTTCGACCACGTATCCCTGGCTTATCATCAATCATTTATACTGGTTATTTTCCTAAACTGAAAGCTTTGTTTATGTGCAATTTAATAAGAGTTTGTAATGGAAACCAGAAGAGTCTCGGGCTGCTTACACCCTGACGTTTATCAATAGTAGTTTTCAATGGTTTTACGCATAGACCCAACAAGAACAGTTCATAAGTGAAAAAAGTAATTTGTAGATACCAATTATCTGCTCCCTTATTGTATACTGTATGGCAAATACTTTCGTTCTTTGATACCATATATGCAAAATAGCCCACTGAGTTAATACATCCTTAAGTCAGTGCTTGCATTGCACTAACAGTAATATATTATTGCAATATATTATAAGTATAATAATAATTAGATTGCACTCATTGATACCTGCACTTATATCTACAAAATCACAAATAAACAAACAAGGTTTTTTTTTGTTAACTATAAGAAAAAGCTGAATTGGAAACTTAAAGGGAATGATAGACCTGTGGGCCATATGTATTTTCAGAGCCCCAGTTTTGCAACCATGTTGTCTAAAATCTACCCCAATATTGGGTAGATAATTTTTGGAAATAATCCATATAGGTTCAGTGGTGTAATTTGTCACTTTTTAAAGGAAACCACACACTAAAGTGGATTCATCATACCTTTGCAGGCATAAACCACATCCATTGACTTTGTTCCTAGATCCATAAGACATTAGAAAGATCTTTCTCATCCAGAGAGGCCAGCCATATTCCTCCAGTCCTCATTTGGCTCTCAAGAGAATTGCGTTCTATAAGACAGGTCTCTGCAATCCAAAGCCACTTAATGTAAAATTTTTATGCGTGTGGTTTTGGTATCCCTTTCATATTTAGGTACAAAAAGTAAATCGGAGCAAGAATTTTCCTTTTTTGTAGGGCCTAGTGGTTAAAACACTGGGCTGTTGACCGGAAGGTTACCAGTTCAAGATCCAGGTACCACATAACTGAGCGAGTTCCAATTCTTGCCCCAGCTCCTACCAACCTAGCAGTTCTAAAGCATGCAAACGCGAGTAGATAAATAGGTACCACTTCAGTGGGAAAGCAACTGCAGTCTGTTTGCCTTGGCTTATAGTCATGCTGGCCATTTGATCACAGAAAGGTCTTTGGGCAATGTTGGCTCCCTTGGTTAAGAAACGGAGATGACCACACACCCCACCCCCGCAGTCAGACGTAACTGGACAGGAGCAACCTCTATCTTTTACCTTTTTAAAATATTTTTTAATTCATTCAATCACATTCTTGGGAGCTCTTATAGCTGAATTCCAGCAGTGAATTCCAACAGGTCCAGTTGTGATCGCCCACCATTACTGTAACAGGCTTAATAGTTGAAATAGCTACAGTTAGGAAAATCTGAGCAGCATGGCAGAGAAGGATTCTTACGCATCTTATGGCACTCTTGTACCAGAGTCCCCGCAGCTACTGATGGTGTAGAGATTACAGTTTTCATTGCTGCAAATATATTCAGAGCTGGTTTGCAGAGCCATAAAATAACAGAGCGGACTGGCTGCTGGCAATCCAGCATCACCTCTTCCTCCTTTCTTTTGCAAGGCTAAACAGAAAATGTAGCCAGCACCGTTCTAAAACCTTATGCTGCATAGAGGGACTACTTCTTTCTGCCCTCCACTTATTTATCCAAGGTTTATTCAAGATTTGTTCACCCCATCCTGGCCCTGTTTAAAGAAGCTCTTGAAACCTGGCCATTTCCCCCCAGGATGTAGGAAAGATACACTGGGATGTTTCAGTTGGGTTTTTTAAAAAAAACTTATTTTCTCTAGGTTCTCTTTTGCTGTTATTTTGATGCTTTGATTGTTCTTTGTAAGACAGAGTCATAAGGAATTGGAGCAGGAATCAACTGATGAATCACAAGTGCCCTTAACAATTTGGTATTATTAAATATCAGAGGAAAAGGAAGAACAGCCTGATAATTCATGTTCTATAATATTTCAATTATAGCCACTCCCACTGGCTGCAATCTACATTCCTCACTTGCCCATGGTTCTGTTTTAAAAAATAAGGCTAGTGTCAGATCTACAATGTAGACCAGACTAGGAAACCAAGACCCTGTAGATCACGACTACTTTGAGTGCAACAACTATAGTAATAGAATCTTGCAAGTCTGAATGTAGTTGCCCCTCCCTCACTGTGCCTTCATGAGAACTAGACACGGGTTTGTCTGAGAGGTTTTCTCAAGGTATTTTCTTAGCCGCTGCTCAAGCCCTGCTTATCTGACTCTTGCCTTGGTAGCGACTCTTCCTCCTGTGCTTCAAGGCCGTTCCCAACATCCTCTGGTATGACAAGAGAAAGGCTATGTCCAGGTGGCATTTAGGATTTGCTAGGTTTATCTTCTACCATTTCTGCAGAAGACCAAAGGAAAATACCAGCTGAGGCTCATGCAGGTTTGATGGAAACTGTTCTTCCTCAGATGTTCTCCATCTTACGCATTCTTTGTAGCTCCATAATAAAACACGCATCTATACTGCAGAAAAGGGTCATATGCCACTTTTGCTCTCCCCTTCAACAGAAAACAAAGATCCTTTCTGCTAGCAAAATTGGGTTTGCAGATAAGGCAATAAGGCATTCCTCTTTATCATACTTACAATTGTGCAAGTCCATCTTTCTTTCTTAACAAATCTTTCTTTGTTTATATCAAACAATTCAAAATAAGAATGTTTGTCTTTCCAGAGTGCCTTTAATACGGTTAGAATGTATTTATTTATCAAATTTTTATGCCGCCTGAGTCCCTATGGAAGGATTGAAATAACAATTGCAAGCACTGAAAATAATTGTTTTCAGATCAAATTCATTGTGGAGGTGTACCTATGGAGCATGACCATGAACATATTCTGTGGGGGTAGACACACATCACTGAAATTATTTAATTAACAATACAATTCATGTTTTGTATCCCTCGTTTTCCATATTGGCATTGTTCTAGCAATATTACTGGGATGAGGAGCAAAGTGGCAGCAGCTAAAACTGCTGTTGGGCAGAGCTGCCATTTGGGCTACGGCCGAGAGAAGAAGTGGGAGCTCCAAATCTCTTTAGATGTTGCTGAATTTTACATCCAGCAGCCGTCTTTGATGGAAATGTTGCTCAAAATATCTAGGTTATCACAAGTGCCCTGCCCTGGCCTAGGATTTCCCTGAAAGAGGCATTTTTTGAAATATTTAAAATAATAATAATAATATAAGAAAAGCTTTGGTTCTCCTCCTATTTCTCCCCACCTGACCTTACTGACATCGTTAAATGCAGTACCAAGAGAGAACCTGTATGGCATGGAAGCAATTTCTGTTGTACTAATTCGTACTTCTTGTAGTTCCTTCTTTTGCCCTTTGCATCTGATGTTGTAACATGTACTGCTCTCCAAGTAGTAGGATGCAATTCAGCCAGAACTCTTAAAAGGGGCTTATTTTAAATTCATTTCTAGAAAAGTCTGGCTCCATCAGATGGTTCTTGGTGGTGTTCAGCTTTGCTGATGTCTAACGTTGCTCCTTAGATATATTTGAGTTTCACTCCCATTTGTAAGGTACAGAATAAAGAGCATTTATTGGATTGACCGTTGAACTATCTGAAAGAAATGACAGCTAGAATACATACTTTCCTGGTCAAATGTAACAGAAGACAAAATTTTCCATTTATGGTCTGGGGAAACTTCACTTAGTCACAATTGTCCCTTATCTCTTCTGCACCAGGGAATAAAATCTCACCGTGTAGTTTAAAATACAGAATAATTTCCTGTTATATCCAAATTTGAGGAAATGATTAGCCCAACCACATGAAGATCAAATTGGTTCCAGGTCAGAGTTAGCTAACTAATTATAGTTTGAACAAATTAGTGGCCTGTTTGGGGACTAATCAGCTTTCCTAGTTCACACAATGAACTAAAGGAACCAGAACTCACTGCTATGTTGTCACAAGAATGGAAACTTGTTGCTTTAACTTCTAAATATGAAGAGTTGAGGAATTATTTTGCCATTTTTCCTAAAACTGTTTACTCGTTTAAGATTTGAGAAAGGGGTATTTTAGTTATATTTCTGATTTATTTTCAGGATGATTCCTTGAGAAAAGCAAGGTAGTGGCAAAGGGGATATAGGTGGACAAAAATTAAGGCAACAATTCGAGTGCCTCAGCTTTAGGACATTCTTCCTGCTTGTTTAATGTAATGTAATGTAATGCAATTAAAAACCAATGTCTGAAAATGTTCTTTCAGGCTAACACCGGAATTAAAAGATAGTCTATTTAGCTCTCAGATTATAGCAAAAGGAAAGCTAATTTCAATTAGGTTGATGTCTCCGGCTGCATTATAAACAATCTTGAGGAGGGAGTGGAGCGGGTAAATGGGGTTGTTGCATTAATTATATTGAAATAAAGTCTTTTTGAGCTCTGATAGCGTATTGAAGCGTAATGCATTTCTGCAAAGCCAGTGGGGGAAAAAAACCCACACCAAATGCAATGTTGTTGTTTATCTAGATGAGTGAAGCAGAGGTCAATGGGCAATTTGAATCTGTTTGTGAATCAGTGTTTAGTGAAGTTGAAGCTCAGGCCATGGATGCCCTCGGCTTGCCAGGTTGCTTCCGAACCAGAAGCCACAGTTACCTGCGCGCCATTCAAGCGGGTTACTCTCAAGACGATGAATGTCTCCCTTCAATGGCTTTGTCTAACATCACCTCAACAATCAGGTCAACGACGGGTGAGTAGTCTTGTTTGTATGTTTAATATAAGAGCCAGGGTGGCGCAGTAGTTAGAATGCAGTATTGCAGGCTAATTCTGCCGACTGCCGACTGCCAGCATTTTGGCAGTTCGATTCTGACCAGCTCAAGGTTGACTCAGCCTTCCATCCTCCCGAAGTTGGTAAAATGAGGACCCAGATTGTTGGGGGCAAAGGCTGATTCTGTAAACCAATTAGAGAGGGCTGTAAAGCATTGTGTATAAGTCTGTGCTATTGCTATTCCTTCCTTCCTTCCTTCCTTCCTTCCTTCCTTCCTTCCTTCCTTCCTTCCTTCCTTCCTTC